AACCTGCTTGTTTTCTGTGGATTCTGCCTGGCTGGCCACTTATGTCCTGGATTCTTATTCCCCCTCATCATCAGGCTGGTTCCCTAAATCATACTGTGCTCCCAGACTTTCTGTGACTTGTAGTCATCGTTTATGATCCAAGTGACTCCAAATTGGACCCGGCTCTGGTTCCTCTTTCGGCCCTGTGGCAGGCAATGTTGAGACATAATGGGGTAGAACAGGAGTCTAAAAAAATAGTGTTGGATTCAGATGAAAACTGATTCAAGGGTATTGGTTCCATTTTGAGTTATTACTGAGTTTCAGTAAGAAAAGGTTGGTGAGGAGGCGGCGGCTCTCTGCCTGGTTGCATGATTCTGAGGTCTCTGATTGCCCCAGATTAGGAAGGGCTGCCTGTGTTTTTCTGCTCTTTGCAGGGTAGGTGAGGGAACTAGAACAAACATTTCCATGTACTTATGAATTGGATTTATCTGAGCTTTGGGAAAGGTGAACAGGTCACAAGTAAAAGTTTTTCCTTAGCCTGCATTGCTCCTTGACCAGTCCAAAAGCCTGGTTTGCTTTAGTTCATTGTGATGCCTTTGTTGCCGCTGAATTAGAGACTTTAAGTGAGAAGCAGTCACCCAGAGAGAGAAGTATGTGGTGTTCTTGCTTAGTCTAGTTCATGATGGGAAAGGGAATGGGTTTGTGCCAGTTGAGGGTTAGAGAATTCAGGAGAGAATGTGGCTTTGGGGGCCTCTCTCTGGAGTGAGACTATGCTTTGTTGATGGTGGTCAGATTGTGGGTATCTCCCCTACTCTCAGTGGCTCCTGACACTATCAACAATCATGTGAAGACATGTCGGGAAGAGCAGAAGAATCTACATTTCTTTGCACCAGAGTATGGAGGTAAGTCATCCAGTTTCTCTGCCCTGTCTCCACCTCCCAGGTTCCTCACCTTATAACTTACACCTCAGGAAGAGGTAACATAATTGAAACTTATAGTTCTTCTCTACTGGAATACAAAAAGTTGTTTTTTTTTTTTTTTTTTTTTTTTTTTTTAAAGCTATTTCTGCCATTCCCTACCCCCATTCTCTGATTCACCAAAACCTCCTCTGTTCTTCCTAGAAGTCACTAATGTGACAACGGCAGTGGACATCTACTCTTTTGGGATGTGTGCCCTGGAGGTGAGGAAATCAGAAGGGGTGGTGGTGGAAAGGGGTGAAATTAGAAGATGGAAGGAGGAAGTAGAGGGGAGGACAAGGGAGTGATGGTTGGAAGCACAGAGATCCTTAGGTGTACTTTTCCTTTTTATTCTGTCACTACAGATGGCAGTGCTAGAGATTCAGGGCAATGGAGAGTCCTCATATGTGCCACAGGAAGCCATCAGCAGTTCCATCCAGCTTCTAGAAGACCCATTACAGAGGGTAAGAAGTTTCAGGATCACTCCCTCAATAGCCTTTAAAATATCTTCTGGTTTTTTCTTCCTTTCTACCTACTAGAAATACATTCTTCTAAGAGCAAGAGAATGTAAAGCAGAAAGGATAAGGAAAAATAATGAAAATTTCCCTACACGGTGCCTACTGCATTTTAGGTATACGTATGCACGGGTTAGGCATTTCAGATGGGCAATATTGGGGTTAAAGTTTATGTGTTATTTTAGGTGTGTATCTGTGGAGGGAAACTAATTTGATGGCTACTTCAGATATTGATAATATACTTTCAGCCACCTTGATATTTTTAAACAAAGCAATCAGTTTGAATTAATCAACTCAGTCATTTAGGGTTTTATATTTATACAGCTTAGCTAGGGAAAGTGCGCTGAAATAATGAGGTCAGATTTAAAGGACATACAGGTTATGAATCAGCAGCTGAACTATAATAACTAGAGTTAGGCTGGAAGGGCCAAGTGTGAAAGGGAGCAGGAGAGAAAAGGAGGACTAGTGGGAACTCTTGGCCAGTGTGAAGTATGTTTCTGGTTCAGTGATAAGGTGTGATGGTCAAGTGAGACAGTTAGTATGTGACCTTGTTAGCCTTCAAGACTGAAAGAAGGAAAGCAGGTTAATTGTCAAGGGATCTATGGGAGGTGGAAAAGGGGGTGTTGAGAGGAAGCATGAGGAAATCCGGTGAGTTTAATAAATGATTATAGTGAACAAAGAAAATTGCACTAGGCTTGGAAACTAAAAAGATGGTGAATATTACTGACTACAGTGGGTATGTTTGGGGAGAGAGAAGGTAAATTTGGCCAGGGTTAGAGAAGAAGGTAGGCAGTAAGTGAGCTAATGCAGCAGAGATACGGAAAAAGGAAATGTAGAAAAAAGAAATCATTAAATTTGAATTTTTTTTTTTTTTTTTTAAATATTAAATTTTATTTTTATATTCCCCCATACAATTGCAAACGCCCCATTCTGACCCCAATCCTTCCCCTCCCGCCCCCCACCCCCCAAAAAGTGTCTCTGGTTCATAGTTTTTTTGTTGATTTTGATTTAAATTTGAATTGTTAAGAAGAGAAAGCTTGTGGCTTGAGAGCAGAAAAATTGTTAAAGCCAGGTAGTGAATGAATGATACCTTTTATATAATATCTTACATTTTCAGAGCCTTTCAGATCCATTTATCAATTTGTCCCCTTAACCAGTGCTGAGCACCTATTCTGTAGGTGCTCAGGATAAGCCTGTGCTGAGTATAAGGAGAGCTACACTGAGGAACACAATGGCCTGCTTGTCAGACACCCGCTCCACCTTCTTGTTCCTTTTTCTAGGAGTTCATTCAAAAGTGCCTGCAGTCTGAGCCTGCTCAAAGACCAACAGCCAGAGAACTGCTGTTCCACCCTGCACTGTTTGAAGTGCCCTCGCTCAAACTCCTTGCTGCCCATTGCATTGTGGGACACCAACGTAAGTCTGTTTGAAACTCATAGGAATTTACTTCCAGTCTGGAATCTTGTAACTCACCAGCATGCTCTCTTTCGTTTTCTACTTCCAAAGAGATTTTTTATACCTCAGGACCCTTGTGCCTAATCTAACCATCCCTCTACAACTTCCTATTCATACAGACATGATCCCAGAGAATGCTCTGGAGGAGATCACCAAAAACATGGATACCAGTGCTGTCCTGGCTGAAATCCCTGCAGGACCAGGAAGAGATCCAGTTCAGACTTTGTGAGTAATTAAGAGGGTCTAAAAGGGACAGGTCACTACCACCCTGAGGGTTGTGTCAACTTTCCTTCTTTGAGAATGATTGGATCCTTCCTTCTACCTTCTTTCTTCTCCGCTAGGTACTCTCAGTCACCAGCTCTGGAACTGGATAAATTCCTTGAAGATGTCAGGTGAGAGAAATGAGAAGAAAGGCTTCCTTCAGGAAGGAGTGGGTGTCCTCTGACATCTGCACAGCCCAGGTGACCTTGCTGATCTCTCTCCAGGAATGGGATCTATCCCCTGACAGCCTTTGGGCTGCCTCGGCCCCAGCAGCCACAGCAGGAGGAGGTGACATCACCTGTGGTGCCCCCCTCTGTCAAGACTCCAACCCCTGAACCAGCTGAGGTGGAGACCCGCAAGGTGGGACATTGTTGGTGTGGGTGTGTCTATGGTCGTGGTGCAAGGGAGGGAAATAGGACACCTCAAATAAGGCTTTGTCTTTTAGAGAGAATCATTTCTGCTCTCTGGCAACCATGTCCTGCGGCCTGGAAAGGCTTCCAGCTCTTGGGGGTTTTTTACTGACTGGATCTACTCTTGTGCCCCTCTCCATAGGTGGTGCTGATGCAGTGCAACATTGAGTCGGTGGAGGAGGGAGTCAAACACCATGTAAGGCTCAGGGCCAGCCCTGCATAGGGCTGGGTGGTCAGGGGGTGGGGGTGGGAGGCTCATTTTCTCACTGTCCTATTCTCCAGCTGACGCTTCTACTGAAGCTGGAGGACAAACTGAACCGCCACCTGAGCTGTGACCTTATGCCAAGTGAGTCTCTCCTTTCCCTCAGAGGACGGAGAGTCTGAGCCTTATCTGTGAGGGACATGTTCAGGGGTGGGGAAGGTGACAAGGCAGTTAGCACACTGACTCTTGTGGAATGAGTATCTTAGCCCCTACAATTGGAGGGTGGATCTGGCAATTTCGGTTTATCCTTCTTTCCCAGCCAGGGTAACCTGACTGGGCTCTTTGAAGACCCTAAGTCCCGCGCTGTGCTCACCCTCTCCTGTTTCTCTGTCAGATGAGAACATCCCTGAGTTGGCGGCTGAGCTGGTGCAGCTGGGCTTCATTAGCGAGGTGAGATTTCTGCCTTCAGCTGTCCTGGTTGTGTCCATTCTTCTCTCTTCCCAGCCGGTCTCACTGAGCTCTTCTCCCCCCAGGCTGACCAGAGCCGATTGACTTCTCTGCTGGAGGAGACCCTGAACAAGTTCAATTTTGCCAGGAACAGCACCCTCAATTCAGCTGCTGTCACCGTCTCTTCTTAGAGCTCACTCGGGCCAGGCCCCTGATCTGAGCTGTGGCTGTCACTAGAAGTGCTGCAGCTTTCCTGCCCCTTCCCCCCAGTCAGTATTACCCTGTGAAGCCCCTTCTCTCCTTCATTATTCAGGAGGACTTTGGGGCTCCCTAGTTCTGAGCATCATTCTTCTCCCCCTACTCTTCCTCCCCTCTGCACTTTGTTTACTTGTTTTGCACAGACATGGGCCTGGGCCTTCTCAGCAGCCGCCTTCTTTATAGTTGGGGGCTAGTGGCTGACTGCCGGCTCCCGCCCAGCCTGTGTGGAAAGGAGGCCCGCGGGCACTGTGGGAGCAGAATTCTACAATCCCGGGGACGGGCGGGAGAAGGGTGGTGCTGCAGTGGTGGCCCTTGGGGGGGGGCCATTCGATTCGCCTCAGTTGCTGCTGTAATAAAGTATACTTTTTGCTAAAAGCGTGGTGTGTGTTTGCGCCTTCCCCGCTAGGGGGAGCGGCTGGCGCCCCGGCGGGGCGCGGAGGTTGGGCCTGCAGGTGGTGATCGCGGAACTGGCCGCAGGGGCGGGGCGGGGCGGGGCGGGGCCAGGTAGAGCTGCCGGGCGGCGGCGGCGGGCGCGGAGGGACGGGATGAGGAGCTGCCGTCTCTGCCGGTTTGGTAATTTCCGGCCCCTGGGGTTTCGGTCCCCTGCGCTCATCTCGGCCCGTCCTACAGCCCCTGGTTAACTGGGGGCGGCCGCTGGCGGCCTCCGGGTGCCTCTCCGGCTCAGGCCTGCCCCTCCCCCGTGCTTTGCAGACGCGGCCAGGGGCCCCCAGCGGCTTATGCGCGTGGGGCTCGCGCTAATCCTGGTGGGCCACGTGAACCTGCTGCTGGGGGCCGTGCTGCACGGCACCGTCCTGCGGCACGTGGCCAATCCCCGCGGCGCAGTCACCCCGAGTACACCGTGGCCAATGTCATCTCCGTGGGCTCCGGGCTGCTGGTGAGCGCGGCCGGCCGGCGGGCGGGCTGGTGGGCGGGGCGGGGCGGGGCGGGGCGAGCAGGGCCGGCCTCAAGCTTTTGTCTTCCAGAGCGTTTCCGTGGGACTTGTGGCCCTCTTGGCATCCAGGAACCTTCTACGCCCTCAACTGGTGAGAGGGGACTTTGGAAGCTTTAATGAGGAAGTCTTGAGTCAGGGAAATGGGATTCACTCTGCTGCTTTAAATGGGGAGAAGACGCAAATAGAAAAACCGCGGCATCTAGTCAGTGGGAGAGTCAGCCACCCTCAGGCCGCTCACCCTGACCCTTTGCCCCCGTCAGCACTGGGCCCTGCTGGCAGTAGCTCTGGTGAACCTACTCTTGTCCGCTGCCTGCTCCCTGGGCCTCCTCCTCGCAGTGTCACTCACTGTGGCTAATGGTGGCCGCCGTCTCATTGCTGACTGCCATCCCGGGCTGCTGGATCCTTTGGTACCGCTGGACGAGGGACCTGGACAGGCTGACTGCCCCTTTGACCCCACGAGAATCTATGTGAGTGCTTTCTCTTCTCAATCCTTGCAGTCCACAGCCCCGGACCTGCACTTTTCATCTCCCCTCCTTGCCTTGCCTGCCGTGCTCTCTCGAGTCCCCCTCCCTTCCTCTTTGCCTTTTAGGATACAGCCTTGGCTTTCTGGATTCCTTCTTTGCTCATGTCTGCAGCAGAGGCTGTTCTGTCTGCTTACTGCTGTGTGGCTGCACTCACCCTTCGTGGGGTTGGGCCCTGGAAGAAGGAACGGCTGCAGATACAGGTAAGGAAGATGCCCCGGAAGGGCTCCTGCACACGGATGGGCAGTGTTGAAAAGATGGACTACAATTCAGGGCCAGGGTATTAATTACCCCTTCTTCTGCAGCTGGAGGAACTGACAGAACTTGAACTTCCTAAATGTAAAAGTCAGGAGAATGAGCAGCTACTGGATCAAAATCAAGAAATTCAGCCACCACAGAAAAGCTGGGTGTAGGGCAAGTTGTGTCATGAGGCTTATGGTCTGGAAAAAGGTGGGGACAGCAAACTGCTCTTAGAATTGGGTCTGGTCCTTTGCTTTCGGCTACTTGCCTTATAACCTGGGCCTTCTCTATCAAGCAGGCTCGGCCACAGGGTTTTCACTGACCTTTAAGATGAGCTAAAATAACTGAAATAAAATAACTTTTTTCTACTTGATAATGATTTCTTTTGGGGGAAGAGGCACCAGGTTGTGCTGAGGGTGACCATGATCAAAGAATACAGTGGGCTTAGTTACTTACAAGACTTTAATGAGGGAGAGCACCTGAAAACTCTTCCCTGAGCTCCACCAGTCACTGAAAGGAAAAGCTGGTGCTGGGAAGGCCGCCACACCACTGACTGATGAACTTCAGTACATCCTGGCACACAGGGCTGTGGGAGGTCTGTGAGCAAATGGAAAACATGAGAGGAATTCACAAAAAAGAAAAAACACTCTGCTATCAAGAATATCATGCCATCTCAGTCCATGAGGAGCAGGGTTCAACCTGCACCTGGCTTCTTAACACTCCCACCCACCAGCCCGGTAGTTTGTTGTTTTTCTTCAGTGCTGCTCTCCCTGCCCTCGTCCTTCACATCTCCCTCTCTAACCTTGATAGCCATAAGGAACTTGTTCCAGTTATCTTTGTTAGCTGCCCTCCCCGGCCGCTTAAATTCAATTTTGTTCCTCAGAATGGGGTATCCTGTAGGGGAAGAAAAAAAGATGAACTGGGGTTTGAGAAGGACTGAGGAAAGGAAATGAAGAAAGTAGAAGGCTCCTATCTTCTGCATCCTTGACTGAATCAGTAAAATCATTTCCCGACCCTGTTGCTTTTCCCTCCTTCCCACCTACCACAGAATATGGGGTGGTGTTGGGTTCTGTACCTGTAATGAGGCAGGGAAGTGCCCGAACTCCAGTGCTTGCTGCCACCAGGGAGGCCTCATAGGCACCCCGCTCATCCCGAGGCAGAACCTGTTCCAGCCGCTGGTCCATGGAAACTGTGAGCACCCAGTCTCGAACCTCTTCTCTCTGAGCCTCCTGGGAAGGATGGGTGAAGTAGATTCATGCCAGGCAGGGCAAGTGTAAGGTGATGACTAAAGGGGCTGGCTAGGCCCACGTCCTATATACCACCTTTCACTCACAAATGATCCTTGGATTGGCAATTACAACCACAGTCTTAACTATTGCCTCTGTTTCTACTGCCATTGAAGGAATAGTGAGGGTTCAGGCCCTTCCAAAGATGGCAGCGCAAAGATATTGCTGACCAATGCCCATTACAAACTTAAGGTGCCCAAGCGAAAATGTCCTCCCTTCTCAACGCACCCACACGGTGAGGCCTCCCAATCTCCAGACCTCTGCCCTTACCAGTATGTGTTGTTTGGCTGGGAGTGGCACCTCAAAGGGAATGTCTGTATCCTGAAAGTCAGAGTGGTCAAGGGCATCCAGTGTCCCTTCCTCAATTGCCTGTGGCAGAGTGGGTAGCCATGAGATGGGCAACTGTCACAGGCAAAACCTCTCAGCCTTTGGGCACAACTTCCCTACTTACATCAGTCAGGTCCAGGAAACGGTTGAGGAAGATGAATGCCATGTTTTCCCAGCCAACTGCCTGCCACAGAGAAAAGTTGCAAGTGGGAGTGAACAACTGGGTGTGGGTGTTGCTTCTGACAAAGCGGGGGGAAGAGTCCAGAAAGATAAAGGAAAATGTTATCTTCTCCATTGGCCACCCAAAGGTTTGTTCTGCCTGAGCAGATGGGATAGGCTTTATCTTCCAACTTCTGATTTCCTCAGCTCAGCCCACCCATTTTGGCAGCTCACCTTGGCAGCAATGCCTGCTTCATAGAAGGCCTTGTCTGCAGGTAGTAGCTGAGTGTGACGCAAGAGTGAAACAGAAAGCCTGGCAGCCACGGTTTCCTGTGGATTCAAGTCCAAGCGTTACAACCCTAGCGCTACGGTACCTGAGTTCCCAGGCTGTGAGCTTACAGCTAAGGCAATTGCACAACCAGTAAACTGGCCATATGAAACTACTCTGCATCTCAAGCAGCTCTGAGTCTTAGTTTTTTTAAAATCTGCACAGGAGAGCTAGGTCTCTATTATTTCTAAGTTTCCTTCCACTTCTAGAATTTTACCATCCACGTACATGAAATAAATATACATTATTCTAACACGAATAAAGCAAAGATAAACATATAAGTAGCCAACCCAGGAATCACCAGAAATGGAATTTGAATGTTTCAATACAATGGGGCTGAAGCTCTATGGGCAGAAGGTCAAAGGAACGCAGGAAGAAAGCCATCACAGCAGAGGCTAAACATGTATTTGAATAACAGAAAAGCTAGACAACAAGTGGGCCAAGCTTGAGAATGTGAAGCTTGAACGCATCCATGGGCCAGCTCCCCCGCTGTGCTGTCTCACCAGCTGTTTCACGCTCTGAGCCGCAGAGCGAGTGGCATAGTAATGCGCTATCAGCAGCATCGTCTCGAACTCCTCATGGGCTGGAGAGTTGGCCTCACTGGACTTGACCAGGTTTTCACACTAGAGCAGGAAGAGAGCACAGTCTGGGCCAGGGGAGTGCTGGGCACAGCTGGTGAACTAATGTCACCTGCACAGAGGACGCTACAGTACATCTGAGGGTGAAGGTTAATGTGCATGAAAGAAGAGATAAGGACTGGGGCAGGCAGAGAAGCCTTTCACTGGGCGACGATATTCTCACCAGGTTGAAGAGGACGTCTCGAAGATCAGCCCAGCTGTGATAGGCCTCGGCACTGTTGGTCCCGGGTGAGCTCACCATGTCAGTGAAGATCCTTTTGTAGATGTTGAAGTTCTGGAGGTAGAAGGGAAAGGAGAGCTGGGAGAGGACAACTAGAAGAGAGCGCCAGTAGAAGAGGCCAAAGAGGGGAAAACAGGCTGTAGATGTGTGTATGGAGAAGCCGGAGGAAAGCGATGGACAAGTTATTATTTTCAGGGAAGAGAAAAAAGAAAAGAATTTTCTTAAGCCAGGTGCTTTGTGAGTGTGGGTAAATGCGATGCACAGTCACGGTGGTCATGGGCTAATATTCCAGAGAGCTTGATGCTTAGCGAGGGGAGTGGTGTTTCTTCTCTGGAGGGAGTTAAAAAGGCCATGGAGGTGTGTGAAAAATTCATCTCTGAAAGGCTTTTCCCTGTGTGTTAGCTAAAAGCACAGGGTGGTTGCTGGGAATTTCTTTCTGCAAAGGGTAAATCCTCCAGAGAGACTGCACATTTTGGAGGAGGCTGGGTAGGGTCTCAGGACATGGTGCTCTCTGAAGAAAGAATCCTTTGGGAAGACAGTTCCTGACAGGATGGATAGTTCTTAAAAAGAAAGCAAGAAAAAAAAAGAATTTCCTTGAGGAAACATTCACCCCAATGAGCAGGCTAGTACCTGTGGGTTGGCAGGGGCTCCGTGTTGCACATACAGGGCCAATGCCTGGGCATAGCCACCCTCTCGGATCAGGTGAGTTGCATACAAAGCCACATACTTGTGTAGAATCTTGTAGTTCTGTCCGGGGGTGGAGGAAAAGTATGGGGAGGTTGGGATTAGCGCAATCAGGCAGTGAGGGTGGGATGGTGACTTGAAGCCACGGATTTGTATAGAAGGCAAAGGACATATGCAAAGCAGGCCCAGCTAGACATCTGACCGCAATTTCAGAATGTGGAAGACTGAGCTCTCTGATGTATCCTAGGGTTTGGACTTTGGAGGAAGAGAGATAAAGCTCTGGGGCAGGTAAGGAGTCAAGGGAAAACGTACAGAGAAGCTGGGATGGGGAAGAGCAGTACCTGCTTGGTAGCTGTTTCAATGCACTTGTCCCACTGGCCCTGCTCCACATACAGGTCCAAAGCAGCCACCACATCCACACCCACCAGCTAGGGATCAATTAAAAAGACAATTACAGGGGAGAAAGCTGACATGAGAGGGAAATGAGGGAGAGGATTTCTTGAGCTTCTCCATGCGATCTGCCTCCTGATAACTCTGCAAGTCTCACCGAGTCCACTTTGCCCTGGTTCTTGAGGAATTCTTTATAATGCTGGTCCACATAGTCTTCATACCTGTGAAGTGTGCAGAGATCTCACACACAGGATGCCATAGCCTTCCCATGAGAACTTTCTCCCAGTCTTTACAAAAGGAAGTAAAAGAATTTCCCATGGGAAGGGGCTCTTATTCTTACCGGGGATCTAACTCCTTGGCCACTCGCTTGGCCTTGTTCCACTCCTCACCCTTGATGAAAGCATCGATTGCTTCCTTGACTAGGTCCAGGTTCAGGTAGAGCTCTGCAGCCTGCAGGGCGGGAAATCAGAGACTGGAAAGCAGATTGCTCCTCCACTCCCCACTCTTCTGCTTGTCCAGCACTGAATGCCAGGTTTGCCACAGGGCCCACCTCACACACACTCCAGGGTGTAGGTATCATATCTGTGGAATCTTTCTTTTCATTCCCTGCACCCTACTTACTGCACTGTGCTTCCCAATTCCAATCAGCTGGGGTCCCACAGCCCGAACTACTTCTAGACTTCGTTGGGGAGGTAGAAACTTGATGGAGAGTTCAGCTGCCTGGTGATTGAACAGAACATAGAAAATGAGTGGAAGAGGCAAATTACCACTTGGGGGCGGGTCTCAGCCTGATTTATTTTTTTTTCCTTCTGGTTGTCAACTTTCTCTCTTGCATTGTACCTCACCTCCCAACCTCCTGGGAAAAGCTCTCTCTTGGTCCAACAGAACCTTTATTTATTTATTTTAAAAAATTTTATTTTTATATTCCCCATACAATTGCAACCCCCTTATTTTGACCCCAACTCCTCCTTCCTCTCCCCCCACATAGTGTATCTCTAGTTCATAGTTGTTTATTGATTTTGATTTTTTCTTTCTTACAGTTATTCTTTTTCCTGGTCCTTTATTTAGGTTTTCTAGATTCCTGCTATGAGTGAGACCATCCAGTATTTTTCTTTTTCTTTCTGGCTTATTTCACTGAGCATGATCTCTTCCAGCGCCATCCATGTTGCTGCAAATTGCATGTGTTTATCTTTTTTGAATGCTGAGTAATATTCCATGGTGTATATGTACCACATCTTCTTGACCCAGTCATCTATTTTTGGGCATTTGGGTTGTTTCCAAAGCTTAGCTATAGTAAATAGTGCTGCTATAAACATAGGGGTGCAGGTGCCCTTTGGAATTAATGTTTCTGTGTCCTTTGGGTAAGTACCGAGGAGTGGAATTGCTGGATCATATAGAAACTCTATCTTTAGTAGTCCAACAGAGCCTTTAAATGACCACCCAGTTGACCTATCTGTTCCTCAGCTCGTCTTTCAGACACTCCTTATGATCTGAGGTCACTGCATTAGGTCCTGTCACTTCTGACAAACTGATTTCTCAAATTCTTTGTCACAAACAGCATCGACCACAGGGTGTAGAGAAAGAACCCCTAAAATAGGAGGCCAGAGCATTCTGCAACTCTGTGTTGGGCTTTTCTGAGTCTCAGTTTCATCATCCAAAAGAGTGATGGTTGCGGTGGGGGCTTCCCTGGTGGCACAAGGGGTTAAGCACCGCACTATGAAGCAATCTGCAGCCTCTGCAGCACGAGTTCGATCCCTGGCTGGCCAGAGAGCTGACCCACATGGTGCAGCAGACCTCTCCTGTCTTGCCTGCTGCTCCCCTCAGCAGTGTATTTCAATCAGTCTGCCTGTTCTGTTCCCCACTCTGTCTCTGGTGAATCCTCTCACTGCCCCCGCACTTCTGGCCTGTGCCCCAGCTCTTGCATGCGTAAAATACATAAAATCTTTTTTTTTTTTTTTTTAAAGTGATGGTTGGGGCCTTCCCGGTGGTGCAGCGGTTGAGCGCTGGGTTGCGAAGCTGCCTGCAGCTTCAGCAGCGCCGGTTCAATCCCCGGCTGCTCCCCGGCCACCGGAGGAGGGTCCCACATGGTGCGCAGACCTCTCCTGCCGCCTGCTGCTCCCCTCAGCAGTGTACTTCGGTCCTTCTGCCTGCTCTGCTCCCCGCTCTGGCTCTGGTGAATTCTCTCACCCTCCCGCGCTTCTGACTGTACCCAGTGCTTGTATAAATAATAAATAAATAAATCTTTTAAAAAAAAAAGTGATGGTTGCTCTAAACTCTTCTTTGAATCACACACTTTAGTCTTCACTCAGATATAATATTAATTAATTGAGCCGTGTGTTAGTCCAACTTCCCCCAATCAGCATGCTTTATTTCTCCTTTTACAGTCTTCAAAGGTTCTGGATCTAGCGTCCACTAAGCACTCAACAGATACCTGCCACCTGATTAACTACAAAAAGACACAGGCAAAAAAGATGAATGTCTGAGGAGCTGGATATGAATGGAGGCCCGGAAAGGCCTGGCGGACTTACCTTCATCCAGCACTTTTCCACCAGGCTGCTGCTTCCTGAGTCCCGGACTTTGAGGTAACAGTCGACTGCACGGCTGTACTCCCCAGCCAGCTCCCACTGTCGAGCTTGTTCCACTAGTCCCTCCATGCCCCTGTGGAGGAGAGTGCATGTGACTAGAGCAGGGAGCAACCGCATGGCCTGTCCTGTGCACACCTTGCGCTCCACCCCCGGCCCTGCCACCACTGCTTGGTGCCTGGATTCATACCTGGCCCCCTTCTTGGTGGCTTCCCGCTCATACTCTTCCTGCAGTGCCTCCAGCTGGCCCGGCACATAGTCCTTGCAGATCCTCAGGGCATCGCTCCATAACCCGGCTTCCTGCTCAGATGTCCAAGGATCAGGGGGGGCAGCTGCAGGCGTTATAGCTTCCTAATGGCAGGTGCTACGGCCCACGATTCCCGGGTGCTTGGCCCTCTTTTGTCCTTCCTCTGGTTTTTCCTTCTGCCTCCCCAATGCTAACCTCCTTGCTCTTCCTCAGCACCAGGGGTCAGTACAGTGCTCTGTGGGCGCTCAAACCCTTTTACTCTCCCCTCAGGATTCTGAACCCTGTGCCCCACCTTGTAATAATTGAGGGCCAGGCCTGGTCTCTGGGCTCGAAGCAATAGTCCTTCCGCTTTCTGAAAGTCCTTCTCCTCCAGGGCTCCCCGGGCCTGCCCCACAAGCACCTCGGCGACGCTGTCAGGGTCATGGGCCTCGGCCACACGCTGAGCTGCCTCCCAATCCTGGTTATGGACAAACCTACTCCCAGAAGGGGACAGAGTGGGGCTGAGTACAGGACTGAGGGTTTGAGAGTGGGAGGACAACAGACATGTTGCTGAGGGGATATAAGATTTTAAGATTTATTGGTACTAGGTTTAGATGAAAGTGAAATGACAACGAAAGATCCTGGGCTGTGCCTGGGCTGACAGGATTAGGGAATTGATGGAGTAACTCACATGAGAACTGCTTCCTTGGGTTTACCAGCCCTGATGAATTCAGCTTCAGCCTCTTCAAATTTGCCCTACAGAGAGAAAAAGGCAGCCATACATGAGAAGGAAATTGTTATCACAGGAATTTGTGCCAGGAGGTGGCAAGACCCAGCAGCAGAGGCCTAGGGCAAGGAACAGAGGGCTCTGTGGTCAGGGTCAAAAACAACAGAGAAGGATCCCATCTATACCTCATCCTCCAGGTACATTGCGTATCTGAGGTGAATCTCAGGAGTTTTATGCTTCAGGGCCAGTCGAGAGAGTTCAAAAGCAAATTCAAAGGAGCTGAAATGGAAGATAAAGATAAGGTTTGCATAGTCAGTGCTTTCTTTTATAAGAGAAGATAAATAGAGGGCAAGGGGAAATATAGAAAGGGGAGAAACACTGCTGGCGGGAGGCAGGGGAGGGCTCCTGGTGCTCCCACTACCTCCTCCTGAGCCACATCTCCACTGGCAGAAAAATCTCTCAGAAACAAGACTGCCCTCAGCAATGTGGCTCAATGCAGGCTTATACTGGTGCTGGAAGCATATGCTGAAGAAGAGCTCCTTTTGCATTTTAGGGAATCATTCTTCCCTTACTCAGAAGAAAGTTACTGCCTTTGAGCAACTTTGCTTTAAAGGCTTAAAGTGGGCCTCCCTGGTGGCTCAAGAGGTTAAGCACCGCACTAAGAAGCAATCTGCAGCCTCTGCAGCACGAGGTCGATCCCTGGATGGCCAGGGAGCAACCCACATGGCACAGCAGACCTTTTCTGACCCGCCCGCTGCTCCCCTCAGCAGTGTACTTTGGTCAATCTGCCTGTTCTGTTCCCCACTCTCTCTGGTGAATCCTCTCACCCTCTGGCCTGTACCCCAGCTCTTGTATGCATAAATAAATAAATTGTTTTTTTAAAAAATAAAGGCTTAAAGCAAAAGCTTAAACAGCCAAAGATGAAGTACTGTTACGAGCCCCAGGGAGTAAGAACAGAGCTACTACTTCCTTCTTGCCTCTTTATCAAATTCTTCCGAGTGTCTCTCCTTGGAAAGATTCTTTCTTCACTCCTATCAATCTCCTGGAAGTGCTTTTGAGTTAGAAATTGACTTTTCTTCTCTAGACAGAGGTTCTGTGTGGAGCAGCAGGAGTGGAGAGAAGGTTGAGAGCCTCACCAGTTGTCAGCTGCGTGGTCAACAGCAGCTTCCAGGAGTCCCAGCTTATTAAGCAGCCTAA